ATCTTCTCCCTAAGGAAATGTTTTTTTTTTTTTATATATATATATATATATATATATATATATATATATATATAAATAGATAGATCGACAAACACATTCATTTAAATTAAATAGTGAAATTTTCATTCTCATAATTATTCACACTCTAGGTTCTATTTTTATATCTCTTTCAAAAGTATATTTCACATGAAAATTTTATAAATAACCTAAAAATTCTCTCAAATTGTTTTTAGATGATAAAATTTAAAAGTTGAGAAGCTTAAATTTTTAATTAGTTTGATTCAATAATTTAATTCAAATTTTTTAAATTTCAAATTGTTAATTGACACAACATACAAAAAATATTTTTTATTATATATTTTTGAAAAATTATTATTTCAATATTAAATTTAAATGAAAATAAACATTAGTGAAATTTTAATAATTTTGAAAAATTTAATAATAGATAATATTTAATAATTCAAAAATAATTTTAAATATTTAATAAAGTTTAAATATGTTTTTAGTCCCTATAAGATTAACAAGTTTTGATTTTAGTTCCTGTAAATTTTTTTCTATGTTTTTTCATCCCTGTAAAATTAAAACTATTATTTTTAGCCCCTGTTTTATTTAATCATTTTTAACTACTTTTTATTTATTAAAAATTTAAGAAACCATCCTAAGTATTACCTATAACTATTACTGATATTATATTGGTATTTAACACTTTTAAACAAAATTATAAGTCATTAAAATAAATGTTATTTATATACCTTAAAATGATCATTAAGGAATAAAAATAGTTAGTTTAAATTTTAGAGGGATGAAAATTAAAGTAAAATATTTTACAAAGATCAAAAACAAAATTTACTTATTTTACATGACCAAAAACAATATAAATTTTAGAAGGATGAAAAATATAGAAAAAATTTTAAAGGGACCAAAATCAAAATCATTAATTTTATAGGAACTAAAAACATATTTAAGTTTATTTAATAATTAAAAAAATCAAATATTGATAAACTCTACATCAATATTGATAGATAAAAAAATACTATCAAATTTTACCATATTCTTAAAAAATATTAATTATCTTAATTGAATAATATTAGATTTTGACATACTTTTTTGATATGTTTGGAAGAAGAATTTTAAAAATTCAAGAAATTTAAAATTCTTGAAATTTGAATTAGTTTAATTTTAATTTTTATCATTCTTTAAATGTTTTGTTTGAATAAGCCAATTCAAATTTTTTAATTTTAAATTTTTAGTTTAGATATAGTAATTTGATTTCCACCGTGTGTAAAATTGATTTCAAATACACACACACACACACACACACACACACACATATATATATATATATATTGAGATTTTAAGATCAAAATTTTAAAAATAAATACTAGTTTAAATATTTAATAGTTTTAAAAATTAATATTAGATAATATTTAATAATTTAAAATTATTTTTGAATATTCAATAATTAAGAGATAGGAGAGGTAAAAAATATATAGGTGAAATAAGAAAGAAAAAATATAAAAAGATTTCAAGTTCTTACTTTTATTGAAAGAATTTAAAATTCTACTATTTTAAGAAATTTTTCAAATTTTTGAATTTTAAATTCTTTGTAAATTATTCCTTCAAATAAAGTATTTCATCTCCAAACATTTGAAATTTTTCTAAAAATGAATTATTTTATTTAAATTCTTTAACCAAACATTCTTAAATCTTTTTTATTATCTTAATAAGATTTTTTTTTATTTTAAAAAAATATTAGCTAAATATCATAAAACTTTTTTATGATAACTTTTTTTAAATCCTAATTTCACACTTTTCTTATATATATATATATATATTTTAATTTTTAATTTTTTTAAAAAAATTTAATTCAATACACTCCCTTAGTGTATATATATCATTTAACCTAACATAAAATTAATTCCAATAACTCAATCTTATTTAATGAATGTTTGGGTTTTAATTCTATCATAATTTTTACGTTTAGTTAAAGCAAATTTTTTTTACTTTAACATAAAATTTATATTCAACGTGAAGAGAGTACGTTTAAAAATCTAATCCAAACATGCACTTAAAATTTAATTTTTCAAATATAATAATACTTAAATTTATATATTAATGAATGAAAGAATCAACCCAACCCAATACACATTTTAGTTACTCTTTTTGTCACATGAACATGCCACAATGTTTATTCATAAGTTTCCCTTGGTTAAATATTATTTTAATATTAATTTTTAATATAAAATATTATTTAAACATTATTTAATTTAATTTTAATAAGAATAAAATATAGTATCCAATTATTTTAAAGCATATTATTTCGTGTGGACCCGAAACACTTGCTGGCGCTGGCTCACTCCCTCACAAATCGCCACTCTCACCATAAATTGTGACCATCGTCACTCCTCACTCCTCACTCCAACCCATTTGTTCTCTCCCTCTTTTTCCTCACAATCTTCAAAACCAAACCAAGAGAGAGAGAAAAAAAAAATGATCAACCCATCCATGCTCCGATCTCTCCGCTCCGCCGCCACCCGCGGCGCCTCCCACCTCTCCCGCCGTGGCTACGGCACCGAGCCCGTGCCGGAGCGCAAGGTGGCGGTTCTCGGCGCCGCCGGCGGGATCGGCCAACCCCTCTCCCTTCTCATGAAGCTCAACCCCCTCGTTTCCAGCCTCTCCCTCTACGATATCGCCGGAACCCCCGGCGTCGCCGCCGATGTCAGCCACATCAACACCAGATCTGAGGTACCCCCGATCCGCTCTCGTTACCCACTTTTCTCTTTTTGTGCAAATGTGTTTTTCTGAGGTGCCCTTTTGCTGGGTGTTTGAAAAGTTGCGAACTTTGTTGTGGGTTACTTATTTATTTATTTTTTGTGGCGGAGTAGTGTACCCTTTTGTGGGGTTATCGCCAAAATTGAAACTTTATTGTGGTATGATGTACGGTGATATGCTTTACTTGTTGAGATTTTGCTTGGGTGCTATAGGTTTAGCGTTGTTTGGTGTTTTTTTTTTGAGGGATCGGGGTTTCTGTTGGGTTTAGTGTCGTTTGGTGTGTTTTCATTCTAATTTTATTATTTTTGAATTGTGTAATTATACATTTTGTGGGTGAGATCGTGTACAGTGTTTTGAAAACCGTTGATGATGTTTTGCCCTTTTCTGTGGTATAACGATTTAACCTTTTGAGGATTTTTTGTTTTTCGCAAAGATATGAACGTTTTATTATAGTTTAATGTTGTGGTATTGTAGTTTGATCTGTTTCCGTTAGGTGTATTATTCTACTATTTTTTGGTGGGGGCCAGGGTGTGTTTTGCAAAAATGGAAGATTTACTGTGGTTTGGTGTTAATAGCACAGTGAATTGAGTTAATTTTTTGAGGTGCACTGATCTACCGGTTTGTAGTTTTTTTAAGGGTGCAATAGTTACTGTTGTTTGATGTTAACAGCGCAGTGAGGTTTTTATTTTTATTTTTTATTTTTATTTTTATTTTTTATAAATGTTATGATGCAATCTTTGTTGTAGGTTGATGTTATTGTACGATCTGTTGAACTTTTTCTGTGGGAGGTTAATGTACCTTTTTTCTGTAGTGAGGTGCATACCCTTTAATGTTGTGGTGCAGTTGATTGAGCTGTGTTTTGTTTAATGGGATTGCAGGTTGTGGGGTACCAAGGTGAAGAAGAGCTTGGAAAAGCTTTGGAGGGTGCTGATGTTGTTATAATTC